GGCCTGGATATTGCTCAGCTTATTTTGTGGAGATGGCACCACCTTGAGGGTGACTACGTATAAGGAAATGACATTTCTGGTCAAGATAGTGGAGTAGGTAAACCCCGTGATTCCTCATCTCATTTACTGAGTTCTTCAGCTCCAGTACTTGTTTTTGGTTCTTTTTTAGATTTTCAATCTCTTTGATAAAGTACTCCTGTTCATTACTTTTATTCTTGAGCTCATTGAATGTCCTGAATTTTCTTTTAGCTCACTGAGTTTCTTCAGGACAGCTACTTTGAATTCTCTATCAGGTAGGTAGCAATCTTCCATTATTTTAAGTTTAGTTTCTAGACAATTCTCATTTTCTTTTTGTGATACCGTTGAACTGTAACTTTTCATGGTGCTTGATTAATTCTTCTTTTGCCAGACTACATGAAATAATGAACATCTTTTTGAATCACATCCAGTTATATTTGAGAGTTGGAACTTTTCACTTTTCACTGCCTTTGCTGCTTGTGCCTCTGAGGTTGCTGATGCCTTGCTGTTATCAGTGCTGCCATGTCATGGGTACCACCACTGTTCCCAGAGACTCCACTCTTAGGCACCCTACAGTTCCCAGAGCTTCTGATTGCATGTGCTGCCATGATTCTCAGAGCCTCTCTGGTCTTAGGTGCTGGCACTGTTTCTGTAGCCACAGACTGCAGGCACCACTGATACTGTTACCTGCACCAAGACCTTGATTGTGGGCCCCCTGCTGGGAAGGCTGAGTTTGCAATCACTACTGGTGCTGGGGATGGGGTAGGCCTGGGTCTTGGGTAGTATCTTGGTTCTTGGAGCCTCCAGTCTCTGGTACCACCTCGGTTCCTGGAGCCTTCGATCTTGGGTTCCAATGAGGTTCCTTCAACCTTTAGTCACAGGTTCTACCACCACTGCCTTCTGGTTCTATCACCTCCAGGCGGTCCAATTAACCCACCTTCAGATGTAGAGATTTATGAATCTCTCAGGTGTCCCGGTATGGCATGCAGAAGATCCAGTGTTGGGTTACAGATATCCTAAGGGTTTTAATATAAAGGGGTAGACTCATGCTGCTATGATGGTGACAACACTCCTTGAAAATTTATTTTTTCTTGTTTATTTATTAACATTTTCTGTCTCCTTCCCGACACTCTAAGGCATGTGAAACATGACCTGGGCTCTGTCTTGTTTTCTCACTATACACCACCTCTATGCATATGGCTTAGTATTCTAGTATTTCTTGAGAGAAAAAATGAATAAAACTAAATAGAAAGTTGAAGTAAAGAGTTTTTTGAGCCACCAATGTTGTGGGGATTAGGTGAGCCTAGTGGCTGTGACTTGGCAGTCTACAGACAGAAGTCAGGAATCAAAATGCCTGCATTCTAATCCTACACCAACTCCTAGTAACTGTGAGCCTTGGACAAATTACTAAACCTCTCCGTCCTTGCACTTCACACTTTCCTTATGCATAAGTACATGGGGAATTAAATAGTGTGTTTGGTGCTTGGCAACAGGAAAATGTTCAATAAACTTCAGTTATTAATAATGATCACTGACTATAGTTCGCTATTTTTTATATAACCCACATTCTGGATATGACCTTAGAAAAGAGAAATTCTTTGGCTTTTCCTCTCCTTCAGCCCCTCCCCATTGACGGTAATGAGATAAATGGACACTTGGGACACAGACTGCCAGCTAGAATTCTTGGCATTCATATGCATTTAAAAAGACTTCTAGAATTATCTATAATTTTTCAGTTAAAAACCAGTCAGAAATGAAGAATACAATAACTGAAATGAATACACTAGGAGGAAACAACAGATTAGACGAAGCGGAGGATTGAATCAGAGATTTAGAAGATAAGGTAGCAAGAAACACCCAACCAGAACAGCATCAAGAAAAAAGAATCCAAAAGAATAAGGATAGTTCAAGGGGCCCTTGGGACAACGTCAAGCATACCAACTATCGCATCTCATAGGCGTACCAGTCGGAGAAGAGAGACAGCAAGGCATTGAAAACCTATTTGAAGAAATAATGACTGAAAACTTTTCGATTCTGTCAGAGGAAATAGACACACAAGTCCAAAAAGCACAGAGGGTCCCCCAAAAAATGAACCCAAAGATGCCCATATCGAGACACATCATAATTAAAATGCCAAAGGTTAAAGACAAAGATGGAATCTTAAAAGCAGTAAGAGAAAAACAGTTCGTTACTTACAAAGAAGCTCCCGTAAGTCTGTCAGCTGATTTCTGAACAGACAGTTTGCAGACTGGAAGGGATTGGCATGATATATTCAAAGACATGAAAACTAAAGACCCACAACCGAGATTGCTCTATCCAGCAAAGTTATCACTTAGAATTAAAGGACAGATAAAGAGCTTTCCAGACAAGAAAATGCTAAAGGAGTTCGTCACCCCCAAACGGGTATTACAATAAACGTCAGTATGACTTTTTTAAGAGAAAGAAAAAATATCAAATATATGAATAAGGCAATAACTACATATCCGTCAACGATTGCTTTAGATGTAAATGCTCCAATCGAAAAATAGAGGAGACGAATGGGTAAGAAAACAAGACCCTCACGTGTGCTTCCTACAAGAGATTCAACTGAAAATAAGGTGATAAAAAAAAGATATTTTGTGAGAAGGGGGAAAAAAAATAGAGTTGGGGTAGCAATACTTATACCATACAAAATAGACTTTAAAACAAAGGCAATAACAAGAGAGAGAAGGACCAAGTAATCCCACTTCTGGGTATTTATCTGAAGAAACCCAACACATTAGTTGGAAGGGACATGTGAATCCATATGTTCATTGCAGCATTATTTACAATAATCAAGATATGGAGATATTCTGGGTGTCTTTCAGTGGATGAATGAAGAAAATATGGTACATATATACAATAGAAGAATACTCATCTATTACGAAGAATGAAATTTGGTCATTTGCGACAACATGGATGGACATAAAGGATATTGTGATGAGTAGAGTAAGTCAGACAGAGAAAGACAAATGTCACATGATTTCACTTACATTTGAAATCTGAGGAGCAAAATAAACAAACCAACAAAATGGAAACAAACTCATTAATACAGAGAACATTTTGATGGTTACCAGACGGAAGGGGTTTGGGATGTGGTGAAAAAGGGGAAGGGATTAAGAAATACAAACTGGTAGTTACAAAATAGTCATGGTGATGTAAATTATAGCATAAGGAATATAGTCGATAATACTGTAATAACAACGTATGGTGTCGGATGGGTACTAGATTTATTGAGAAGATCACTTCACAAATCATATAAATGTCTGATCGCTATGTTGTATAACTGAATCTTATGTAATATTGTATGCCAACTGTAATGGAAAGACACTGTCTCTTCTCTCGGGGGATTTGCAGTCTGATGCAGATATAGATATGTAATCAAGCAGTTAGAATACAGTACGATGTTTGCTTTAATATGGGTAAGGACAAAGTGTTCTAGAGGAATGGAGAAAGAGCACTGAAGCCAGCCTGGATTCGAGAGAGATCTCTTAGAATTGGGAAGCCATTTAAATTGTGGCTTGAAGAATAAACTGATTTGGCCAGGTGAACAAGAGAGGGCAAGTGTTTCAGGCAGAAGAGCTAGCATGTGCAAAAGCATGGAGAGAGATAAGGTGTGTTCAAGGAGCAAGTGAGCAGTATTGCTGGAGGGGTGAAGAAAGGAAGAACAAGGGCCAATCTTGGAAGACCTTAGATGTTGCAAAGGAGCTTAAGTTAGATACTGTGTAGATAAGAGGTGGCCGTTGAAGAATTTTGGGCATGGCGGCAAATGTCACATTTAATCTTTACACTAATTCTTTGAGGCAGGAAGTTATGTTCTGAATTTACAGATTGGGAGGTGGGAGTTGGAAGCTCAGAAGATAAAATAAAGTCTTCAAGTTCAAAGAGTAGATGTTAAAGTGAGGACTCAGTTTCGTTTGTGCCTGACTGTAGAGTCCGAGCCTTTCCGTTTAACAGAACTCTACAGTCTGAAGAAGACGAACATAAGAGGAAATTATTTGCAGACATCTGTGCCCTGTTAAAAGCATACGTGTAATAAACGGGTCAGTGTATGAGGCTGGCCGTTTATTGCCTCCAGGAAGACAAACGATGTCATTCAGCCCCCTGGTCATGCTGTCAACAGCCAAGGCTCTAGCATGGAAACTTACAGGTAAGACAGTGAAGTCAACTATACGTTTTAGAAAGCTTTAAAATGAAACTCAAAATTGACATGTTAACATTCAACTGTCTGAGAAGTTTGCTTAGAGTAAATAAATTTATTTGAGGAGGAAGTTGTGTAACTTGTATGTTGGTGGAGGCACTGTCCAGCAATAAAACGAAAGCCTTTGCAAAATATGGGCACGAAAAGTCTTTAAAGGTTGAGATAGTTAAATGAAGTCACACACACTATGTGACTATTACAAATAGCTGTTCCACTCAGGTTGGAGTCACCAACAGTAGCATTTTGATCCCTGGCAAGGTGTGTGAAATTTTTGTTATTGATAAAACCAGGCCATGTAAAGGAGGAGAAGGGTGCCAAAATCAAAGTCATCTATGGAATTCACTCTTCCTTTGGGGCTTCAGGTTTGAAATTATAGATTATTTGCAAGAGCTCTCTGCCTGGTAATAATTGGTTCAGCTCTCAAACCACACAGAGTTTTATTGAATAAAAATAAAATATTGAATATGAATAGTAAGTATATGGACAGTCTTACGCTTATGCACCAGTCTAGGCAAGCCTATGTACTTGCAAGGAAAAGAATGCCAAAAAGTTGCTAATATTACTACACTTACTCATAAAAATATTAATCTCCTGGTGAAAATAGTGTCCCTATTTTTTTTTTTTTTATCAGAATGGAGCAGCAGAAGCAGTGACAATTTCTTCCACCATTTTTGGTTTTTCCCACTGGTTAATGGAACTTATCACGACATATTTCTATCAACAAACATCGAACACTATTAATTTGAAGTGTTTCAATACTTACTCGAACACCAAAGCAAGGACTATAGTCTTTCCTTTCCCTTCTTCTCCTCTCGCCTTTACTCGCCCACTTTTTTCCCGTTCACTCTTCTTTCCACACTTATTTCTCTGAAATGGATGAATTACTACTTGGGCTCTTGGACTGAATTGACTGTGTTGAGATGTTTATCTTTCTGGATGTCTGCTGTTGCTGGTCTCACAGATAATAATTAATAGGGTGTTTTTAGGGACTGTTCAATAGGGTGAGATAATAATTAATAGGGTGTTTTTAGGGACTGTTCAATAGGGTGAGATAATAATTAATACGGTGTTTTTAGGGACTGTTCAATTCCTAGGCACATCTTATCTCCCCAGTCACATCTCATGACTTGAGATAATATGGGAATTGAGCAATAAATGATGGCAAATCGAGTAGCAATATGGCAGAGACCTAGTAATAATGCCTTATATTTCTGTGTTTTCGTAACCTATATGTTCCCATATATCCACATGAGGATATGCCAGCATGAGTTTTAGGGGCTAGCAGAAGGAAATTCTGTCATACTGAGGGATATTCTAAATGGAACGACTCCTGAACTTGCAAGCAGTATTCTTGGCAGATATCCTTGATGGGGGATGCAGGCAAGGAAAATGTCCTGTATCTCCTCATCACTCCTTTGCACAGGATATGAATGAGTAAAGATTCAGATTGCCTGTGAGCTTCTCAATACACATGCCTACCGATTTTCTTTAATAAGACTATTTCCAATAGTCCTAGGAATGACAGGAAGTGGCAGAGGTGGAATTATTCACACAGAGAGTAAAAAGCGTTGAGGTAATGGTTCATGGAATGCTATCATTCCTGGTCCATGAAAGTCCTCTCTTACTGTTTATCCTTACATCCCATTTCCATGCCCTTCCTCCCATAGAATCCATGACATTTAACACATATCTTTCGGTTTATATGTGTTTTAGCAAAATTAATATTTTGGTTTGTGTGCGTGTGTTTTTTAATTTATAGAATTGGGTTATATATCTTATTTTGTTACTTTCTTCCTCTAAGCACAATATTTTAAAGATGTCTTTATGCTGCTTTGTGTAAATACGTTGCTTGTAATTAATCGCTTTCTGATATTCCAAGATGTCCATCCACCACGTTTTACATTTCTTTTCTGGAAATGGACACCTAGATAACCGTCACCTCCCAGCCAGAACAAATAGGGCTTCAAGGAACATGAGCACGTGTATCCTGAGACAATGTTCTTTTATGGAACTGCTTAAGTACTTACTTGGGATATATATGTACAGTGGACTTTCTGGGTCACAGAATGTTTACTTATTTTGACTAGGTATTGCCAGATTGCTCTTCTGAATAGCTGCACATATCTACACCTCAGCAGAAGTAAATTATCTAGCTTTCTAATTTTTGCCTGTTTAACAAGTATGAAGTGATAGCTTGTTGCTTTTATTTGTATTCATTCATATTTCGTAATGATTTTGAACATCTCTTCAAGTACTTGTTAATTTTTTGTATTTTCTCTTCTGAAATTTTTCTTCCTCTGGTTCTCCTTTGACCATTTTTCTATTTGAGTTTTATCTACTTCTTGCTGATTTGAGAGTTTGTTGAATATTATATTCTGAATATTGGTCCTTTTCAGTTTTAGGCATTGCAAATAACTTTCCTTATTCTATTCTATTAACTTTTTAATGATGCTCTTTGTCGAACAGAAATTTAAATTTTTGATGTATTAAACTCATTAAATTTTTTTTGCCTTACATTTTGCAGTTTTGAAATTTTGTCTAAAACAATCCCTTACATTCTTAGGTCTCAGACATCTTTGTGAACTAAGTGGACTTTTTCCTTACAGTTTTAACTCTCACTTTTAGTCTTTAATATACCTAGAGTCCACCTTTGAATAAGTTGTCAGATAGGACTTCAGTTCTGTTTTTCCCATATATTGAGCCGTTTTCTCTGCTATTACCTATTAGCCTTCAGTCCTTTCCTCCTTGATTTGTACTGTCTCTTCTAAGTTTCCATATATTCATCCATCAGCCTCTGAGAGTTCTGTTTGGTTTCATCAAGATGTTTTACTACTCTGGTGACACTATCATTCATTGTCATTGCTTTGGAACTACAGTTGTCTTCCTATCTGGTGGGGCAGATTTTCCTTCTATACGTCTTTGTAAGCTTGATGTAGCTGTTTGTACACCCTTGATTCCTTTCTGTACCTTTTAGATAAGCTTTTTTGTTGTTGTTGTTGTTGTTGTTTTTTAGTTTGACGGAGTCATGCTGAATTTATTACTTAATTTGGGAATTGTACTAGTAGATATGGTTATTTTTCTATAATACTTAAAAAACATTATTTAGAATTTCTCTTTGGCTGTGTTCTTAAACATGTAGGTTTTTCTCCATGTGGGTTTTCCCATCTCTATCCTGTCCATCACTCTGTGAGCCCTTTCAATCTAATGTCTTTCTCCTTAATTTGACAAATCTATCTCCATTACTTCATCGAATAATTCCTCCTTTACATTTTTACTTCTCCCTTGGTGTTTAGATGTTAGCCTTTTGTACTCCTCTCTGTGTCTGTTTCCTTTTATATTTCCTAGGAGATTCTTCAATCTGATCATCTACTTCATTCATCGTTTGTTCTTTGGATGTAGTTATTCTACTATTTATTCCACCTGTTGTATTCTTTACCTCTGCTATTCTATTTTTCATACTTAAGTTTTGTTTGCACATAATTTCTTATTTTGTGTGTTCTCCTACTTTAGTAAATATTTTGATTGTCTTCTTTTGAAGTAGGTGTATTCCTCAGATATCTGGTTTCTCTGGCCTGTGAGCTCCTGTGCACAGGTGTATGTGAGGGTGGGGGGTCCCCT